GTGTGTTAGAAAATAATATAAATCATATCCTAGAGCCCCATCTAAAAACTTAAGCTTTTAGATGAGATGATTCTTTAACATGGCATGTTGCCGGCTACAATAAGGATTACTATTGTAATCTATATGGGTGTGAGAAATTAATGTTTCTCCACACCCTTTAGTCTTTATTGTATTGTAATTTTTAGAAAACATAAAATAATATAAAACAAACTTAATATTTAATGAAATATATCATAAAAAAAAACTTCAATAAAAGGGAAATAATGCTTCTCCACACCCTTTAATTTTTATGGTAATGTAATTTTCAGATAACATAAAATAATATAAAACAAACCTAATATTTAATTAAATATATCATAAAAAAAGTTCAGGGAAATTTTCTCCAATTCTTAACAAAGAAGATAGCCTTGTCATCAAATAAAAAAATTCCAAAACAATAATATGTGAATCCATTTTACACCATCTTTTTCCTTTAAGAAGGTGTCCACAAACTTTGATTTTTGCTGGCGTAGCAAGTATGAAATGAATTTGGTGTATTTAGCGACCTCTTGAGTCGTGTATTCTTCAGGATTCATGCATGTTGGTTGATTGAAACCAAAAATTCCCATATCAATAAACAAATTCTTTTTATGCATTGTACGTGTGAACATTTGAAAACTTTTTTTTTTTGAAGATTTTCGAAGACATTCGAAACTCAAAAAAGCAAGTGTAGTGAGAGGATCAGAAATCAGCAATGATGCTGATTTAGCAAAAGGGACCTGCATGCCAGGCTATCAATATGCATTCGACTCATTGATAATGCCACTTGATAAGCAGTTTTCACCGTGTAGCCACCGTTCTCCGCCCCCATCCACACATTTGTCTGGCATGTTGCAGGCTACAATAGGGATACTTGAAAACCAATTGCTCATTCCACCCCCACCGGCCACCATTCTGATTAACGAATGCTGTTGGTACTCTATGATCCCCCACCAGGCAATGTTCTAAGTAGACTGATGAGAACCAATGATTTTCAAAGTTCCAATTTGAAGTCAGAAACTAAAGCTGACAGGATTGGCATCTCAGAATTAAAAAGTTCTGATTTCTGATTAGAATTATGTTAGTATATATCTTAGATTATGATTATTAGCAGTAGTTGCGATTCTCCTTCCATCATAACTCAGGTTAGGCAAGGTTGCTGGGTTATAAATAGCCCAGATGTGATGAACATTGATTATTCTAACACATTTCAAAAACTTTTCTGAAACCTATCCTTCTCTTCTTAAGATCCCATCATAGACTTTGGACTCAGAAAGTAGAAGGAGATGGGAGCCATCTTTTCTCTCTAAGCAAGACCTTCTTTCAGCACCTCTGTCCCTTCAAGAATGCTCCGCCATGTGTGAGATGGATTGAGCATAACGAAAAGAAGAATGAGGGAAACAGCTTCCTCGCAGAACCTTAATTACCACAGAATCTTCGTTCTCCATGATCCATCATCTCTGTTTAGCCAAGAGAGCAAGATTAAAAGCTTATCATTTTTGGATTTGCACATTCTTCTTCCACTGCTTTCTGACCCTTCCAGCACCAAGCCAATAAGGAGTTGATATCATAGCAAATGCCCACTGAGAGCTTGAAAACACTTATGGCAAATTAAGGTGGGAGTCTTCTTCGAAACCTGATCCCATAAATTGGAGAAAATACTGTGCCTTCCATAACGCCCAAGTAAATTCAGTTCTTAGTTATTTTTTATAAGTTTTTTTAGTGGCTTACGTTATATTTTTACTCTTTTATATATATAAAATTTATAGAGGCAAGATTTATCAAAAAAATTATATATAAATTTTTTATTCATATATATTTATATTACTAATTTGAATTCATATTATCCATAAAAAAAGTTTATGGTTATATAATATTAAGTTAATTTGTTTTAGTAATTATTATTGTTATGAGTTATATATAATTATATTTTGAAAGATAATTCAATTTATCTTCCTGGTATTTACTAATGTTCAGTTCAAAAATATTTAAAAATTAATATACATACATACATACATATATATATATATATATATATTAAACTATAATAAAAAAAATGTTTGTTTAATAAACATTCAAATTTTATTCACTTATACGTACCTCTAAATAATTTATTATAAATTAGAAAAAATATATATAAATATGCTAAAACACTAGTTTATATAAATTCCTTGCTATGTTGGAGCATTATCAAAGAATTTGAACGGTAAATTTAATATCTAACCATTGATTAATTTTTTTTATAATTTTAGCATTTGATTTTATTAATTAAAGTTGCTCACCTTTAAATTATTTTCAATGCAAAACATTCGTCAGTACTTAAGTGGTGATGTGACCATTATCTTGTATCACATGAAAAAAATTAGGTCTAGGTTGAAAAAAGGGAGCATATATTTGGACTCCATTTTTTCACTTATGCTAAAGATAAGTTGAAATGACTTTATAAGTTATAAGTATATTTGGTAAAAATTACTCAAAGTAAATTTTATAAAATAATATATAGAATAAGTTAAAAGTTTCAAAAAAAAAAACATTTTTGATTAAATCAAAGCTTTTGACTTAATTTTATAATAATTTTTTTTAAGTTGAAAGTTATTTCTAACTAAACATTGATTATTCTTTTATTTTAATAACAGATAAAATATAAAACAACTTATTCAAACTTAGATCAATTTGTAAATGTCATACCAAACATAACTTTAGTATCACAAAAAAAAATAATGCAAATAAAAATAACACAAAAAAAGCACAAGAATATATGTTTTTCAAAATTAGGGTTTCTAATAAATATTTATTTTAGAATAATCTATCTCTCTAATAGATTTATAATAAATTATAAAAATTTAATGAATATTTCTTTTAAAGGAGTCTATATCTCTAAGATATATACAACAAATTAGAAAGCTTGAAATTAAAGAAAAAGGAAATAAAATTCCTAAAGAAACTAGAAAAAGTAAAAATATTAAGCATAATATTTAATTTTCTAAATTAAATAAAAAAATAAAAATAACTAGAAAAACAAATATTTTTTTCTAAAAATCTTTAGCATCAATCTTTCATGTTGAAAAATACTCATTGAGTTTAATTTACTCTTTTCTATATCTCATGAATTTCTAATCATATTCATTTTAGATATTTAATAATTTTAGATATAAACTTATGTTAAAATTTGCATAAGATATAATATATTTTTCCCTAACTTCTAGAGTAATGAATTGTAAACTTCAAACTTGCTTCATCAATATATATTATCTTTATAATAATAATAAGCATGTAATAACAAGTATCCATGTAACCTAAATCAATAATTTTTATTTTTTAAGTGTCTTTTTTATTTTATATACACTTAATCTTCAACTTATCAATGATGTCAATATTAATAAGGTCATTAAAAATATAATCATTATTAAAATAAATATTATATACAAATTAATGAAAAATATTAATTCATATCCATCTTGTCTTAAATGAAATTATCAAAGTCTTTATAATACTTATCTCGATCAAAAAATTATATTCTCTACTCGTGTCTTTGAAATGATTTATCAAAATTCATTATGTATTTCATGATCATTTTTCTCACGGTCCCCTAGATTTCTTACCTTCACTAATTGACAAGTTAATTTTGTAATTTATCTTTACATGTAGTCACTAGTTTCTAAACAGCTCTTTTTAATTATGTAATTTATTTCTATATGTTTTTTATCATCTATTTTTATACATTTCTTTATCTATGAGAACTTCTTCATTCTTTTTTATATAAACGCGTCATATTATGCTATCTTTTTCATACAAAATTATTATAACACAGAGCAAGTAAATAACCAAAGAAATTGATGAGCTATAATATTAATTTTAATTTACACATATAAAAACAACACAAGAAAAACAACGAGCAAAAATAATATAGAATTATACTAAATAGATTTACCACATAAACTTTAATTTAAATTTTTATTATTGAATATTTTTTTAAATAATTTGCTTCTCTAAGAGGTTATAATTCCTTAAACAAATTCAAAAACCAACCTAAACAAACTAGAAAAAATAAATTATTAAAAATAATATTTTATTTTCTAAACAAAATAAAAAAATAACTAAGAAAAATTTATTTATCTTAAAAACCCTATACAATGACCAATAAGATCATAAAGAAATAGAGAGGCTAAACTATAATTTACCCATAAAACAAAAAGGAACGGTTAAGAAGGGGGAAAACCTTAACCTATCTTCTAATGTCTCCGCTATCAAATGAGCCTCAAATCAATTGATTATATCATTTTATTTTTTTAAAAAAAATTACATTATCAAATGAGCCTCAAATCGATTGATTATATCATTTTATTTTTTAAAAAAAAATTATGCTAAATAATATCACTTCTCAATCCAATGTACACATGTTTGTTAAGTGCTTCCATTGAATTCTCTATTGAAGTAAATTGGAGTTTATTTTAACACTTTTATTGAAAACATTTAACAACTAATTTATATTTATTATATTTAAAATAAAATTAATAAGTTTTTGGAACTCAAAAAAGAGATAATACCTTAAGTGGTGTTACTCCACATGAAATACAGGGATATCAATTAATATTTATGGATTAGATTTTGTATTATTTATATTAAATTAGAATCCAAAATGATTATTTAAACTTAAACTCTGCACCCTACTTGATGAGATTTAAAATATTTATTTGGTATTTATAACACAAACCCAAATAAAAACACTATAATTTAAAATTATTTAATACATAATTGACTTATCAGACATATACTTTTTTAAAATTTTAAAATTATTTATTTATTTTGAATTAATTTTTTTAAAATTATTTATTTATTTTGAATTAATCTTTAAATTTAAGTTAAATAAATTAATATTTATACGCAGCCCAAATTTTAATTTCTTTTCTTTAAATTTTACTCAAAACCCGAACCTAATAGAGATTTACAACTTCCAATATATATATATATATATAAAAAAAAACATAGTTTTAAAAATAAAAGAACACAACCTTTCCTCCTCCTTGTAACATGCCTGCTTCTTGATTGATTGAAGCCATTACATACGCTTAAAAACACCCATCTCTCCGCACTCCCTTTTGAGCGAGCGAGCGCAATGAGTGAAATCTCAGGAGGAAGCAGATCCGTACCTCTATTATTCTTCCTTTCACTTTCTCTTCTTTTCATTTCAGGTTTGTCTCTCAGATCTCTTTCGCCTTTTCTCCCTTCTTTACCAATCTTTAATTGCCAACAGTGAAAGGAAAATTATTGTGTTTGATTTTATTTTTAATTTTTTTGTATAGTTTATGCTTGTATTTCTCCTTGTTGGGCTTGATTTATTTTTATTTTATTTTATGAATTTGCATGTGGGTAAATAATAAAAAATAGATAAATTATAATGCTTCAATTTTCATAGAATCCATTGAATAGAAAAGGGAAAAAGAAAAAAACTATGTAGTGCATGTAACTTTCAGGTTTTTTTTTCCTTGTTTCCAGGTATCTCAGATGACTCATCCGGTGCAAAAAATGGGACGAAGGCTGATCCGCATGCTGCATCCAAAAACAATGATGGGCCCGAGATTGCCATTGTGTTTGTTTTCGTTGTGGCAATAGGGTTCTTTGCATTTTTCCTTTTCAAGTTTTGGCAAAAGAAGAAAAGGGAAGAGCAGTATGCCCGTCTTTTGAAGTTGTTCGAAGAGGATGATGAGCTTGAAGTTGAACTTGGCCTTCGAGATTGACAATTTTAATTCTTGCAACTTGAGTTTATTGTAGGTAAGGTGTGTTTTTCGGTTCCCAGTTGGAGAGATTTTGCTGCTTTCTTTGTAGGTTTGGTTAATGTGTAAAATGTTCTTAATTCAGCACGTAACTTTGCTTCTTTTGTTGATTAAAACTTGCAGGCATTTGTATGGTTGTTCTGTGCAAGTGCGTTTTCTTCTGCGGATGTTATGCGATTGATTTATTTTTCTGAACTTATAGATGATTTTGAATTTACATTAAAACACTAGGTTATTTAGCTTTTGCTGTGAATGAAAGTATGTATCTTGATGCTTGCTGGCTATCAATATTATGTTCTAACCTTGGTTATGTTGTGCAGGCTTAAAAGAGATTTGTTTGGAGGAAAACTTGCTCCTCCGTCAGCCAAGATTGGGCTGTAGTGATCCCTGTGCAGAGGTTAGATGTTTTTTTTCAATTGAATACTGTATTACTTTTCATGTCATGTTCAAATGAAAACTTTTCATGAATTTGAATTCTTTGATTACTAAGAGAAGTGAAATTCTACTGTGTAAGTTCTACGAGTCTTATTCCCAGTTTGTAAAAGATGAGTTCTTTATTCTGGTGCACATCGAAGTGTGTAGAATTAAACCATTTTTATGTGAAGCATCTTGAATATTTATATATATTCCATATTAGCAGAAAGGATGAGTTGATGCAACTTTCTGTATTCTGAATTTTGATGCTGGTGTTCATGGTTTATGGCACCTACTCTAGCCTCAATTCCAAGCCATATTTTATCCCATAATGGATGTGTATGCCCACTCGCTGGCTTTTGACATATTCAGTTTCTCTTTTCAAAATCCTTAAAGAAAATGAAGAAATATTGTCTGAATGTTACAGCCTTACTGGCTTGTTGTGAATGAATACAAGCTGCGTAACAGCCTTACAGGCTTGTTGTGAATGAATACAGGCTGTGTTGGAACAGTATTTTAATACCCGAATATGCTTTTAATGAGTTTGAAACTACATAGTTTCTGAACTTGCTGTGAATGAATTTACACTTTTTCTAACCTTCCTTTTTCTTTCAATGATTTCAAAACTTTATAATGGCTTCATGCATCATCGGTCTATTTGAGATCGTTGTTCATTGTGATTAAAATTTTCCCCATACACATCTTGTATCTCTCATGAGCTGCTGAGCAATTTTTTTATGAATTTACTGGGCTGCATTTGGTTGCAGAAAAGTTTTAAAAAATTTGATCTTTGGTCATGAGAAGCTTTTTCCTGCCTTGCTTCTAATCCAAGAAAATGACTTCATATTCTTGGGTTTGCAACTAGGGACATAATGATAAAGTGAGCATGGAAATTTGGGTAAACGTGTTTTTGCCCCTAAAGACTCGTCAATTTTTCATTCATGTCCTTGTAGTTTAAGATTCTAGTTGTTATATTAATAGATTTCAAAAATTCCTATTGGTTTCCTTGACCCTTTTAAAAGTTTCAAGCAGAGTGAATAAAGGTGTGCAAGTCCATATTTTGAATTTATTTGATTGAAAGAATTTTTGTGAAATATTATCACATATTTAACTAGAATAAGAGAAGATAAAGAGAAATGAAAAAAAAAAGCAAGAATGAAAATAGTGAGTTTTTTATTAGATTTAGATATTACATTGTTAGGGATAACTATAAAATTTCACATGCTTCACAATATAATAAATAATGTCTGTTTTTTTATATAAAAAAAATCCAATCATGAACAAAAAGCTTAATTCATTTTTTACCCTAAAGAGAATTTCTCAACACATGAGCGTCCAAAACCTTCCTCCCACTTGATATCTCACGACAGAACTGGTAGATACAAAAGGAAAAGAAATGTGTTAGGTGTTTGGTTGGAGGACGGGGATGGAGATGGATATATAAATATAAATCTATCTCTAAAATAGTTTTGAAATAATTTATTTCTTTTTAAAACACTACCTAAAAGTCGTACAAGTCAGTATTTACTCGGATACCTCACCAATTTGGGATTAGAGAGTTGTCATGGCACCTTTACAAACCATAGAGTGGTTGTGGTGTGCTTTTACCGGTGGTGGAGGCCACCACAAGAACTGGAATCGTGGCAAGTTGGTTGCAGCCCTTGTGGGGTGGTGGTGGTGGCAGCAGTTGTGCCAAGAGAGCATTCCCTTGTATCAAAGACCAAATAGTTATCGAATTCCGAATTTTATCGCCGTTAATATTCCTATTCTTGGTCTGTCTGGTAAGACGCCAGACATTCAAAGAATGTTATTTGCGATTGTAGTATAGCATCGGGTGTTATTTTTCCTTGTAAAATTGATATCAATCAACTTTACCAGAGCAAGAGTATGTTCATGTACTCTTGAATTTGCTGGAGATTTGTTACTTGCAAAGACCATAAGCATATTCACCAAGACAAGGGTGGAAAGGGAAGCAGTCAACAATTGGAATTTGGGTAAGAATTTTAACATAACTCAAAGATGATCATTGATGGAAAAGTTTATATTAAAGCACAAGGCTTGACAAAATTAGAAAATTCCAGGCGATGGTGTCCTACTTTGATACGATTGTAACGTATAAAGACTTTGACTAGTCAACTTGGTGAAAAAACCTAGTAGATGGACTAGTCAACTTGGTGAAAAAACCTAGTTTTTTTCAATCTACTAAACACTTTAACCCATGACCCGGGTCTTCGAGCCAAGGAGACCTTCTAATCAAGTCCTATAAGCATGCTAACACTCGAAAACAGAAAATTCAAAATCCTTTATTTATTCTCTTGGTTGGATGAGTGCATGTTTCCATCAATGTCTTGTCTTCATCAGCTGGTCTTGATTAGCTTCTTTTCATTGATTAGATTACAATCAGGATTACGTTATCTTGATTATTCCTTAAAATTTGAAAATATAGCCCTGGTAAAATGTAAACAATATAGCAGAAAAAGGGAGCTACAAGTCATATGTGTCAAACTAGTGCATTTATTGAGATAATGATGTTACATAATAGAATTACTGGTGCAAAAGTCTTCAGGTAGATGTGAAGGTACATCACATGACTTGAAAGAACTAGCTGAATTATTGATTACAAGTGGTTTATTTCACTAATGAAACGAATAATTCCATGCTCAAATGAATACTACGTTAAAGAATTGGAGATTATTTGATACACACTAAAGCACATTGAACAGAACTAGTGACAAGATAACATGCGGAAGTTTCCAAGCAATTATGCCCAACACACAGTAGTTCAGTTTGCCGAACGCCAAATGCTCAGCCTCCGAAGGTCCCTCCAAGCATCAAGAAGCCATTAGGGCTTCAATAAATCAGTTGCCGTCATCCAGCAATGAATAAACCAGAGTCACCTTCCTGTCTTGGCTCGTTTCATTCCTGCAGTATTGAAGGGTGACATGCTTGGGCTCATGCTAGGGCTCATGCTTGGACTTTCCTCCCTTAGTGTACCATTTAGCAAAGCCAGTTCCCTCAATTGCTGTTTCTTATAGTGATCCAAGGATTCGTCCTGCAGAAAGAGAGCATAGCAATGAGTACAAGTCAAGAGAAAATCAGCAAGCTGTGGCAGAGACCTAGAATTTAACAGCAAAATTCACAAGTCATTCATGTCCATACCACAGGCTTCAGGAGGCTTTCTAATATGGTTATTGCATGTTCCAAGCGGGCATTTATTATATCCTCTGGAAATTCAGCCTCCACCAACACATGCAGCGGTTCATTAAGGTGCTCATATCCAGGCTTGTCTTTTAGTTTTTCTTCCTGGAGAAAAATCATAGTCAATCATGGGAGTTATGGGAACGATTGAAAAGAGGGAAAACAGGCATCATGATCATTGAACTTACTTGTGCAATCAACAAATCATTTATCAAAGGAGACAATGACAAAAGCTTTATTTTTCAAGGGATTTAAGAAATATTTAACTGAAGTTCCATTCTGAATCACAGAAAATAAATGGTCTGCGTCACTGTCGTCAAAAAGTGATTCTACATTAAACATTGTGATTCCTAAATATGAGTACCATATCTCTACCAAAGAAAGCAACTGAATTGAAAATATAATATACAAAAATGGATCATTGGAGCTCTGGCTCATCTATAGTCGTATTTCTGATCAACTAATTTACAGTCATATTACCTCTCCTGGACATTAACATAAAATACAAACTCTCCTAAATGAGGCGTGAAATTTAGTATATAAATAATACACCCAAGCATGTGAAGCACACACTAAGTAGTATTGTTCATTCTTTAATGGAAAGCAGGAACAGGTTCAGCCCATGGGTTCCACCTTCCATTTCTTTGCATTGAGTTTTCTACAGTTAAATGAGGTGCTAACAAGTTAAGCATGGCATTTATGTCTTCCTGTTTTGAACAATTTCAGCACTACGGTGGCCAAGTAGTCAGACTCAGACATCAAAAACCAACAATCACCCATGATAAGTTGTAAAGTACAGCACAGATGGTCATCATGATAGTTTACAATGAAAAACAGAATAAAATGCATGCAAGCAACCAACTTAAGTCTCCTCAATATAAATTGAACAATATACATAATAAAATGTGAATAACATCCGCTATCAAAATAGATTTGAAGGCTAGATATTATATCAGAAAAAAGAACAAAAAATTGTGTTCTATGACTCTTTCCATGAATACTAACACAAATAGCAAAACAACTGCAAACAACATCAGTATCCAGGTGCAACTACATGTCAAATTTCTGTCATTGGGATCGTAGCATGACTCAGTAAAAACTATAACTATGGTGCAGATACTGATCAAAACTTTCATAAATGGACGACTGAATATAAATGTTCAAAGTGATACGGACATCAACATTAAACAAGTCGCAGAGAGCTATTTGTTGGATCACCTACAAATTAACATGTCCCTTTTAAGAAGATTGCACTAGGAGAAAAATAGGATAGTAAGACCCCCACCCCATTTCAATAGAAACCATAGAAATCAACGATACTTGAAATACAAATTTCAATTTCTAACATAATGTCATACAAAAGCAAGCAGAAGCTATAGTCATTTACCAAGTTCACTTCAGATTCACCATGACACGCAACCTAACTATCTAACTTTATCAATTCACTTGAAATAGAAAACAAATCAGAATCATTCATACCTTTAGAGAATCCTTTACGGAGCCCTTGCCTCTTATATACACCCTACAATCTGTCAAGGCTTCAACTCTTTTCAAGGAGTTCCCTCGTGGTCCCAAGATTCGGCCAACAAAATTATACTGCCAAACTCAAGGTTAGAGTTAGAAATGATAATTAATTCATATCTCCATTACTTCAAGAAACATCTTGGACTTACACTTGGGTATTTATCAACAGGAACATCAAGTCTAATTACTCTCTTTACAACAGGCGTGACTGGAATTCCAGGGACCCCAGGCCAACCCATTGAAGCAGCTGGAAATGAGGCCATTCTTTGAAGATGCCCATTCTCCTGCAGTAAGACATGACACGTGGATTTTCTATTATTTTGTTTAAGAAATTAAAACTAAGATGTCATAGTTATCATAAAGTAAGACATTTTGGGGCTTGAGAAGAGGAGACCAATTTTACTCAGGTATCGCAGCAGATGGGGGTTTGTACAAGATATGCCATGGAAGTTAACCCAATCCTAAACAACTTTCTTCCTCCATGAAATATCATGTTTCTTTTCTAAGCAGGCCACGACAC